ATCCTTGTAAAGGAAGAGCAAATTAACAAATTACCTGACAGTTGACGCAAACATTTTTAAAAAGTGGAAAGAAGCGAACAAATTACATTTTGCTTTTTACATCGCTGGTCTTCCCTGCTTTTTTGCACAAATTGCATTAATTGAATAATTCAGGAAAACTTTTTTTTTCTCCGTAAAAAGCCAAAGAAAATAACTTGATAATTGAGTTCATAATAAGCTTGCAGTAATAATACTGCTCTAGTGTCTCAGCCGTCTGATAGACCCACTGACGTGGACCTAAGGAGAGGGAAAGTGGGTGTGCCAATTCAGCCATGATCGTCCTGGAAGCAGTTAAAACTTTATAAGGTACAGCACAAACGAGAACAATGCCTGTTCCAACTGAAAACACTGTAGAATCTTGCTGCCGTTCATTAACCACAAGAGAGCTGGCAGAATCCCCTAAGTGAATTCTGACCTTGATTTCGCTCATGCTTCTATATCTTATTTCTTCAAAATATACATCAGGCATTGGATAATCTCTTATTGACACATTGCTTTTCATTCAAAGGGAACAGCAGACTTCTCTTATTCTACTTACTAAATACCAGCTGTCAAGGGCCTGTTTAAAAATGAAAGGACTTATCACCTTGTGTAAATGACAAGATTAATAATGTCTTGGGTTTCTGAGAACTTTATTCCAGTTATAGACCATGCTAAGGGCAAGGCCAGGAGTTTGAATGAAACCGTGTTCCTTTCCAGGATGTAGAATAAATACATATAAAATGTTACCCCAAAGCACACGCCCAAATCATTCTAATTATCATGAGCGGACGGACAGGTCTTAAGCCTGTAAAGTCAACTTACATGAATTGTGCCTTAGTGACCTGATTACAACCAATATGGTTTCACCATGAAGAAGTATTAGGGGAAAAACTGTGTTCAAAGAGCTAGCTATTGCATAAGTACCCCAAATTTGCAAACACATCATAGATGAGAACTGGCCTTGACTGAAGTAGATGTGGGTCTATGGGTCACCTTGCCTTTGTTCAAGGTGAAGGTATAGAAATACGGAGATATGGGGGGACTTATCAAAGAATGGAGGGAAAGGTAAGAGCAGGGTGAGGCCAAAGCTAAAGCAATGTGCTACATCCACCCAGCAGAATGGTCTGTAAAGGTATCTAACAAGACATCAAAGGATAAAGGACATCAAAAATATCCAGAATAAAAAAGAAAGAAAGAAAAAAAGGAAACCTCAACAAATCATCTAGATGTGTGCCTACTTAACATTCAACACATGGGTGTTTCCAGATGTAAATGCAACTCAAAATAATTTACTGTTTTCATGCTTCCCCTGCATATTTGCTCCTCCTGAGGACCTATTCTGGAAAGAACTTTCATCATCCAGCTCTCTGCTTTTGCTCCTGCCCTGCTCTGCCTCTCAGTGCCAGCTCTTGATCCTAAAAGCCACTGGGGACAATTTCAGATGGTTAAAATGTAAAAATATTGAAGCATTGTCTGTCTCAATAAAAGTTTCCAGTTAAATGCTATGCCATAGCAGTGTGGCTATGTAATATTGTACAGAAACTTTAAGGAATATGGGGAAAATAATCAGGACTTCAAGGATAAAGAACCTTGGATATTATTATAGGTCTTCTATTTTATGACTTGAATGTGATTGGAGCTTAATTTACTAGTGTCTTTGGTGTGGCCTTCTTCTACAAAGATAAATTACTATAGTTAATACAATATTTTCCAGGGGGTGGTAAAGGATAGCAGCCAGGAGCTGCAGCTACTTAGAAATTATGATTTAAGCGTTCACTCCAGTGTTTTCAGAATTCCTATCTCCAAAAACATCACTGCAATATTTTTGAAAACATGAAGAGACATCTAAAAAAAATAAGCTTGGGTCTTTCTAGGAAGCATTAAGAAAGAAAACTGCCACAAAGCTCACTCTGGCCTGGGCGGGGGGGGGGGACCCAAAATAAAATAACTCACAGAAATCTACTGGAAAATTTAAACTCAGGAAAATCCCCTCAAATAAAATGCTTGTACAGAGGTATTAGGAAAATGTTAATCGCATGGCCTTTGTTTATGAGACAAACCAGATTACATCCTTTTTCAACTTTACTTGAAAATCAAAATCCATGCTGTTCCTAAGTACTTGTCACCCCCAAACAAATCAAATATGGGTTTATCCAGTACACATGTTTTGACTGTCTCACTATTACCAACCTGCATTATCATCTTAGCAAGAACATTTATTCTCTCTTATAGAACTCTTCCACATCATTATAAAACTGATCTCCTGATCTTTAACACCAGAATTTCTAAAAATATCATATTTGCAAAAATAAACTATAATTTATACACCCTTGTTTTGTTCTGGGCCATCTTTTCCCTTCCTTATTAGACATCATAATTATTATAATGACTAGACTACAGTTGAAAGATTCATCTGACATTCTTCCTTTCTGTAGCCCAGGACTTAAACCTGTCTTGTTATTAAAATTCTTTTTGTAAACTTGAGCTCTATCTAAGAGAGGAAAGAGAAACACTTTTTTATAATTTTTTGAGAGTGCTTCATCTGCTATTGTGTTGTGCAGGTGAGTTGATGGTTGTTCGTGTTTAATAATTACTCCTGGTCCAGGGTCTGTCTTTATGGACATCAAATAATATCTCACACAATGAGAGTGTTCATTATGTGATGAGTTGTACTTATTCACCATTTGGCAGCTCTTATTACTCATGGAAAAGAGAGCAAAAAAATAGACCTAGAGAATCTCTGCAATCAGCTCTTTTATCATTGTACCTAGTCCAACATTCACATTTCAAAGCTGTCTGAAATTGTAGTCTTAATTAACTTTCAGAACTATGCATACAAGCTTATGGACGAATATGTTTATAAAATATGCATACATTATTTGGGTATCTGTTCTCTTTTGTCTTGTCAACTGGGCTAAGTATGATTGTATGCATATATTGTCTATCACACAAATCTGACTTTTACCTCTGACTTTCCTCTCTCGTTGTTTATGGGTGAACTTACTTGACCATGTAATGTCCCAATTTCACAATTATGTTATTTGATACGTACTCTGTTACCATCTTAGATTTCTGCCAGCAAAATACATAAATTTAAAATGAGTGCTTACAGAAATAATAAGTATGTGTCTAATATTGGCCTTTTATGTTTTTCCTGGTTAACTATTTTCCTTCATTCTTCAATTAAAATAAGTAAACATGCTGTTCAGTATGGTATGAAACCAGCATATTTTCTTCTGAAAGCAATATATTTTACAATGTGTGCCTCAAAAGTAACTGTGTTAAAATTATAAATGCCTGCCCTAAGAAGCAATCTAATTCATAGTTAGCAATAGCAAAATAGTTTTGCTTTTTTAATGCAATCAAGATTCCCAATGAGAAGAGTATATTTATTATAAAATATGAGAAACATAAATATTAAATGAAAAAATGTATTGGCCACAAGTCCCATTCTTACACCATCCTTTCACTGATCCTACAACAGTTCTATCTGTCCAAGGAGACAGCTCCTATTGTCAGTAAATACGGATAGCAAATAATTATTATGATATAATTACATTATTTCATCTTACAACTGCCTTTGGAGGTCTGTCAGCTCCTTTATTTTCGGAAAGATAACCTGAAAAATTCATTCACTTACAACACCTATGTATTTCCCACATCTACAAATAGTGTATGCTCAAAAAGTGTTTGTTGTTGATGTGACAGTAACTCAAATGATGGACTTGGGATATATTCTGCTCCCAATCAATAGCTAATTTAATAATGTTTTCCTTTGTCAATAATGCCTCTTGTTTTCTTACAGCAAAGGGAAAAAATAATTGATTGGTTTATTAATTTTGATATATGTTGAAGATTTTTAAATGATACCTATTTAAACCTAATTTTACAATTTACTACCTCTTACACAGTTTAGTCAGTAAAAATTATCTGGTAGCTGGTAAAATGCCAAAGAATAAGCTCATAATGATGATTGAAATAGAGTCTTAGGCCATATGATGCTAACATTACTTAACAGCTTTCAATTGGAAACATCTAATTTAAACTTTTCTTTTTCTTGGTGGTGATTTTCACAGTAAATTTGTCAAACAACCATTTTAATATGGTCTTTGAGACATATTTGATTTAGGTAACCATTGGGTTAAACCATTGGGTTAAAAGAAATAAGTGATGGATAACATAATTAAATTCTAACCCAAAAGTGTTTATAAAACAAAAATTAACAGGCTAACCCTTTTGTTGTTTCAGGTATTGTCATACTAAGTTACAAGATTCATAACCTAACTTTATTGAGTGCAAAATATGCTTCATGATATTTTCATGATCTTATTTCATAGTTATTGTTATTAAAGTTAACCTCACTGCATGGGCCTCCATAAAGCAATTTCCAGCAGTGATATTTTTAAACTTTTCACATATACAAAAAAAAGGGAGTATTTTGATTAATCTAAAAGTTTTTCTCATTTATAAACAGGCAAATCAAAATAAAATGCACAGTCAGATAAGACCGCATGTAGATCATATATATGTGTGTGTGTATGTGTGTGTATCTACCTATTTCAAGTAAAATCTATGTAATATTTCAAGTGTATCACTTCCAATTTCTGCACAAATTCATAAAGTGTTATTGAGTAGCTCAATACTTTCTATGAATGTTTCCCTATTATGATGGTAAAGAAAAAAAGGTAAAGAACAACTAGCAATAAATAGGACTGTTTTTAGAACATTCAATCACACTCAGAAAACTAGAGCATTTGTGAAGTTACAAAGTGAGTAAACTACCCAAAAAAGTAGCACTGAAAGAAAGTAATACTGCAAATAACTTTATTCTGCATCTTACTTATATTTGTGCATTACCTTTCACCATATCAACAAACAGGCCACAAGGGTCTACTGCAGCTCACTGTTATTTTTATTCTTCAGGCTTCACTGATACTTTAGTGCTCTCAAAGAAAGACAAAAAAATCTTTACAACATACCTGATCATTTATCTGGCATGCAACGAGGTTGTGCTGATCATAACAGCCAGCGAACCTGATGTACTTGAGCCAGCTTCCTACATCTGGTTGACTAGCATCTATGCAGAACTTCACATTGCAAAACTCATCTAAGATCTGGAAGGAAGAAGATGAGAACAATCAATTCCCATATCAGTTCATTCATTAGAATGGTTAATTACTTGAAAATATTTTATTCAAGTGTATAGTCCTCCTTTAAATCCTTTTTTTAAAAAAGTCAGGCAGCATGCCTATTAATAAAGGAGGAATAATAGTAAGTTACCTTAGAAGCGGCAATGTATGTACTATTTTTTAGAAGAACAAAGCCATTGTACATTATTGCAAAAACCGGTCAATTGATTTAAAAAAAAAAGTGCTTGTTTCCTTGTTATACATGAATGAGTGCTCTTGACTTAATTTTATTCCATGTGATTTTTACAAAAAATAATATTGAACAGCATATATTAACCTAATATTTCTAAACTAAATAGTCAATGTTTTAGGTTCAAATAGTCTTCCCATGTAAGTATACTTTCACATTTTTGCCCTTTAATTCAATTAAAAAACTTTAAATAAAGTTTTTTTACTAAATTCCTTTTCACTTTGCATTTCACTATCATGAAACAATTAAATCACACCCTTAGTGGAAGAAGATAATAAGATTTGTCTCATAAATGTTTCTGACCAAACGTAAGAAAAAGAAATGAAAACAAATGATTGGTAAACACTCATGCAAAATATGGCAACCTAATGTTTTAGCTAACACATGCCAATACATGTTTCAATTTTGTTTAGTAAGCAAAAGAACAGAACTGGCTTGTGAACAAGTAAAAAATATATAATAATATTGTAATAAATTGCCATCATTATCTATGGTTGTGTATTGTTATTTTTCATGAGATTTTACATTTGGCCTATCCTGAATATTAATCATTACTTAGGACACCTTAAACAAAAATTGGAATGGGAAATGTCCATTTTTAAGGTTTTGCATACTTACACAAAGCTATTCTGATTCACTAGCAGCAATGTTTTAAACATCAATATTAAAAACTGCAGAACTGTTGACCTAATGGCGAATAACTAGAAAGGCTGGCAATGTCAATCAGTTAATGCAAACTTGAGGAAGTTTCCTATCACAGACTAAATAAGACAGTCCAGAACAAAAAATAATGAATTAAATAACTCCCACAGAACCCTGCTGTATCTACACCTATGTAAAAGTAAAAACTAAACTCTTGGGTATATAGACCAAAAGCAATTTTGCATAGAATTCAGGTAATCACCTAGTTGCAGATTCAACTCATTAACTCACCCACAAACTTCAAGAAGAAGCCCAGTGCTCTGAGGGATCTAGTCAAGAGGCATTATGAATAAGCCTTTGGCCATGAGGCAATTAAAGGGCAATAAGTAGTCCCACAATTTAAAAAAGTAAAATCAAAACAGAAGATAGGGATAATAATTGCTACACACACACACACACACACACACACACACACAAATCAAGTCTTTTTCAAGACCCCTCTTCACACTAACAACAGAAAGTCCACGTTAAATACCCTCTCTAGTGAGAAAGACAGATATTAACAATTTCTTATTTTTAAAATTACAAACTTTAAGTTGTTTTCTTCAATTCTCAATGCTGAGTGACTCTAATAGCAACTTTCGACCCCCCCCCCCCCGCCCCTGCAAGAAGTCCACAGGGAGCATAAATAACAATAGCAATACACATTTTAAAATAGTAAAAAGTTGATATTTTTGTTTTGTTTGTTTTTTGGCTTGTTTGGTTTCTGGTTGATCTTTTGTTTTCTTGACTAGCAAAAAAAAAAAAAAAAAGGCACCTCTACTGACACACTAGAGAAATATTTAATGAAGGAAATAGGGTGAAGTCAGTGAAATGCAACACCAGTTCCATTTCATATTTGCAGAAAGACCTGGAAAACTTGTTAATTTCAAAGTCAAGCATCATCTATCCCCTTAGCTTTCGAGCATTCCCTTTTGCGGGGGCAGGGAGTTAAGTACTGCATATACTGCACATAAAATTCTAGGTGTAATTTTATTCCGTGTTAACATTATTGCCATTGCCACTGTCAACAGTGAAATTAATTTAAAAACAGGTTCATTTCCAAAGAATGTCTTTTTACATATATGTTACATGATTATTCAAATACTTCACCAACATATTAACTTTCTTACTCTCAATATTCTTGCCCCAAGACAAAAGCTGAACTTTCTCTAGAAACGTTTCCCCCCTGGGTGAATTATTCACTTTTGATTTGCTAGCAGAACTGTATTTGTCTCCCAAATGTCTTAATCGTCTCGGAAATCTCGAGTAAAATAAAGTAAGAACACATCTTCCGTCATTTCATCTAACACACTCCTGTGTTTTTAAAAGCTGTCAAGTTCCAAAGATAGCTTAAAAAAAAAAAAAAAAAGAATTCCCTTTAGGTGGACTCTAGAGAAAGGCCCTTTCAAAAAACCAACAGCAAAAGGAAAGAAAAAAAAAATCCCCACAATCTAGCCAAAGGGTCCGAATGTGACTTTCTCGAGAAGCAGCACACGATGTTGGACAGCAAAGCTGTTACTTGGCAAGGTGGAACTCGGCCGAAAGCGGCTCCAAAGTCGCGTGGCCGGTGCCAGGAATTCAGATTTTGGCAACCCCACCTTCTGCGTCCCTGATACCGACGGACAGACACACGGAGGGAGGGGAAGTAGGAGAAGAGCGGGAGAAAAAAAAGGCCGACAGCCGGCAGAGAGACCCACCGAAGGCCGGACGACCCACCCCGGAGACGCGTCCAGACCGCACCGTTCCACAGGAGGAACAAGGAAATCGCCAGTCCCAGCAACGTAGATAAGCAGCAGGGCTCCGCAAGACTGCGGGCAAGTAGGAAAAGAAGGCTGGGGGGGCGGGGGGCGCCCCGGAGAAGGGGTGCCAAAGCAGGAAACTGTCCGAAGTTACAAACTATGCACATCGCCAAGACTTTTTTTTTTTAAAGTGAGTTCTCTTACCTTTAGATTTCTATGGCCTCAACTCAGCAATAAAAGGCAATCACAGAAGAATTAAAACAAACAAAACAAAATAATCAGCTGCCCCCAGCTTTCCTGCACGAAAATCCTTTCAAACGATCCCGAACCACATCTCGGGATGTTAAAAAAAGAAAAAAAAAAAAAGGAAAGAAAAAGAAAAAAGAAAGCCTCGCGTCTCGATTTCCGAATAGGTCTCTGATAACTTTGTCCGTCTCTAGGATCTGCTCGCCAGGACCACGCGTTTCAGATTTATTGTCCGCCAACAGTGTATTTTTAAGACCAGAAATGAAGTCTCCTCTCGTCTGGGTGACCCGGGTTTGGTGTGTTTTGGCTTTTTTTTCCCCCCCTTCCTAAATGAGCTCGGAGCTATTCCTTCTGGTTCACATCACCTCCCTCTTTTCTCACTTTCTCTTGCTCTTATCAGCCCGATGTGTAATGAAAGTTATCTGAAACCCACTAAAACTTCTTCCACTTCTCTCTCCCAGTTCCAAGGGGGGGGGGGGGAAAAGGCAGGAGGAGGAGGAGAGTTTGAAAAGGTGGGGGGCCTGGGGAGGCGAGGGGAGCTCTAGCCCCCTTTTAGATCCTCCGCAGCGCCTTCCCCAGTCCTAGACCCTCACGGGATCGTCCCCTTTCGCAGCTCCAAGCGCAGCCGCCGGGTTTCTATTTCATGAACTGTCTCTTTAAAGAGGATCTGCTCGGCCATCCAGAAAGAACCCGGGGCGAGGGAGAAAGGGAGCTATCTCCCGCCGCCCAGAGTGATCGGAAGCCAGACGGGCTCCTCTTTCAGTAAATTTTTAAAGTGACAGCAGCCTCCTCTGGCGGGAGAGGTCACAAAAAGGTCGCCAAGACCCAAGTCCTATAGGGACAGGCTGATTATGGATACACCATCCCCCTTAAACATGTAGATTTCTCCGGTAAACAACCAATGGGGAGACCTCGCCAGGCAGGATTTCTTTCCCTAGGGAAATATCCTCTGTTTCGATGTCCTGAAAGCACAAGTGTAAGTGTGTGTGTGTGTGTGTGTGTGTGTGTGTGTGTGTGTGTGTGGTGTTGGAGATGTTGGAGAGGGGGGGGGGGAGTGATGGGGTGGAGAAGTGCTTTGGGGGGGTGTGAGGGTGTGTGAACCAAGGCGGGGGGGGGGGTGCTGGAGGGGGCGAGAATGGGGTTTAGGGTAAAGAGACACAGACTGGCTCATGCTAAATCTAGTAATTAGAAATTCTCAGAAAACAGCTGCCTAACAGTGAAAGTTGACATGTCCATTTCCAGTTTTCTGCTAAGCATCTTTTCAAATGATTATTATCGAAATTCATACTCTGTTCCCTCTATTATTATAGTTAGATCAGCTGAAGAGCATGCTACTTTTCCAAATCATATTTTTCTTAAAGGAAGTAATTTAAAAATCTGAAACATTTTTGCATATAACCTGCCCAAATAGTGTGTTAAGGGCTTGGAGAGATTGACAATTATCTGGTGAGTTTTTGCCATATTCTGTGATACGTTAATTAAAACCCCATGAAAGTCCAAAAGTGGAATTAAGCAGTTTGACAACTCAGGTTATTTTTAAACTTTTAACATTATAAATGCTGCTTTGGGGGATCAGTACTGTACGGTGATTAATAACTTTCTAATATATATGGCCAATTTTTATCAAAACATTTCAGAAACAGCACTGGAAGAGAGAATATAGGGAATGCGTGACAAAATAAGAATCTACGGATTTACCTATAGCCAACCTTGGAAAATTTAGTAAAATCCACCGGTTAAATGGAAATAAATGCTTTTTATCACAAAACTCCATTCATAAAAACAAATGAACACATCCAACTTCTCAGCTCAACAATGGAAAGTTAAGCAAAGTAAGCAAGTCTTAGGGACCCTCGCGGGGGAGGGGTGAAGGGAAAGTCTATGGAAAGCGCGCTTATGTTAAACTTTATCAGCAAACGGGGACAACGCCAAGTCCCCTTTTTGTTTTCTCCAAGTGCAAACAGACGTGTAAATCTAGTAGATGTATATTTCTCCCAAAATGCTGATTTAAAAACAAAAATAGTAACAAAAGGGAGGGATGTGGGGGAGAGAAAATGACA